AAAAAAAAAAAAAAAAAAAAAAAAAAAAAAACAGAAAAGCAGATATTAATTTTTTTTCACTGCCCAGCACAGCACAGCTGTAAAATTAAAATTTCAGACACGACAGTAAAAGCAAAATGATAACCTTATTCAAATGTCCAAGAAATCTATGACACTGCACCCAAGTTAAACACTTTTTAGAACATTTAACCATGCACACACTCACAAAGAATTTTAAGCAACTTTTCAAATTAGTTTCTTGACCTTATAAAAACCAAGAATTAAAAATAAAGTGATCAGGAAATGTGTAAAGACTGATCCGCTGAAAAAATGACATCTTAAATGCAACTATAAACGCCACATTTACCCGTAATTCCGTAATTCAAAAAAAAAAGCCACTAAATAATTGAAAACTCTTTTTTCATCAGAATTGGAAGCCAAAAATATTCGAGATATTGCACTAAAACAGGACAATCAAAAGCGAACTTCCAAAGAAATTTTTGTAACGGAAGCTGAATCGAATTACAGTTTGTGACTTCAGAACTTTAAACTTTTTGCCATACAGTTCTCGTTCTATAAAGCTTCAGATTTAAGATACTTCGACAACTGAATACCAGTTCCCTTACCAAACAGAAAACAAAAACATTGTCCACAACCCAAATCAATCCGGCTGGTCCTCCATAAATCGTAACCGTAAGGAAAGAGGCTGCGACCGTTTTTCATCAGCCACCAGGATTTCGTCACCCTCACAGAGCCCTAACTCTAAAATTAACTGTCATCTTTTCCTAAAACTTTTAAGGTCACCAGTGACGTGCTGTTAGAAGAACAACCTTCAACCTTCCATTCAATGACTATTTCACTTCCGTATAAAGCAAAAAAAAAAAATTAAATTACATTTTAAAATTTAAAAAAAGTTGTGATTAAAAACGCTGCCTCATTTTACCACTACACTTAGTCAGAAGACAAAAAAAGTAACCTTTTAAAGTTTTAGCGAGATTTTCGGTGCTGGCCTTAGCAAAATCAGAAATGATTTCACTCTTCATATAAAGTAGCTGTCTCGCAGTTTGCAACGAAGGATTTTTGAGCTTGCTGGAAAAAATAAAGCAGTAACCAAGATTTTACTGATGTTAAACTAAATTCAGATGACTAGGCTCGGAATTAGATAACCTGACCTCAACTGGGGAACAAATCTTGACTTCTTAAAATCTAGTAAATAAAAAGACCAAATATAGAGCTTAATCAGCAATTTTACCAAAAGCTGTACTGAACTTCAAACGTACTATTTTTCAATTATATTACTGAGCAGTTCACTTAACTTCTCTACTGGAGAAACCTCAATATAATCAGCTCGCTGGCCGCAAACAACGCAATCTGGCTAAAAAAGAAAGCAAATATTGTTATCAGACAAACATTCATCAAAAAAATCTCAATTAAAAAACTAACATGGAATACTGGCCTGTTTAAATTAGATTAGCTTCATTTCTTTTCCCAAAAAAAAGTAAAAAATAAAAAAACCCCGGAGCCAGAGTCCTAAAAACTTACTCGTTTTTCAAGATTGACGGTCCCCATAAAAACACCATCAATGTCAGCAAAATTAAGATAGTTTGTAAATGGACAAGCAATGCTGAAAAAAAAAGCTATGAATAAAAAAGACAAACACCAGAAATAAAATTAGAGGTAAACTACTGTAAGTGAGTAAGTGAAAGCTATTAAAAAAATAAACATACTTCGAAGCCAGTTTAAGAGCTTCCAGAGTGCAAGAAGCTGAAAAAATTGAACTTTAACAACACAACAAAGAAGCAAGGAATACTTAATTTGCGGTTAAAAAAAAAGTACCAGCAATGACTGCATTTGTTGAAGCAACAGCCGGTATAATTCTCTTTAGAACTCCTTTAGTGAGGCGAAGGTCAACTCCTTCAATGTTATATTCTTTAGCTCGTTTAAATGCTTCTTCATAGACCCATTTAACATGAGCCGGGTCATCCGGATCCAAGTTTGTCCCTGACATAAAAAACTAATGGTCCCCAACAAAATCAGAAAAAATATACAGTCAAAAGTAAAAAATCTTCCTTTCCATATGTATCTCTGCACTGCGTCTTAAAATCCTTACCGGCAAAAGGTTTGTCACGATCCCACTGTATTACTTTTACGAACTCTACACAATGTTCAGGCAATCTAGGTGTGTGTGCAATGGTACACATTGGGAAATTAACCTAAAAGGAGAAAAAAACACCCCCGTCCAGTTTCCAATGTTTGTGGAAAAGCTCTCAAGAAATAAACTTGAACAAAAAAATTACTTGAGGTGGATAAAGATCAATGGTGCACTCTACGCAAGGAGTTACCGATGGAAAAATTACACGAGAATTTCCTTTGAAACCCTCTGTTCCACCATCAATCAAAGGAATGATACTTTCTGGATTAGGGCTTCCATCTGGCTTATACTCCACCAAACTAACCTAGAAAGTTACAGTTAAAGACACTGCAGAAGAACTGCAAACAAGAAAACGGGAAGTTCCTCAACTTACCAACTTGTTATTCAACCACCTTCTGGCAACTATAGAGTCAAGACCACAAATCACAATATGAAAAGATCGATAAAAATCATCATTCTTATCTTCAATGTTACAATTGTGCCTGCAAATTTTAAACAATATTGCTTGCTGCCAAAAAAAAAAAAAAAACAATGAAAGAAAACAAATGGTTTAGTGAGGATAAAGGAAAGAAATTACAGCAATAAACGTACGGGATCACTTTGCAATTCTGTATCCTTTTCATGATAAACTCAGCTGCAACATCCGCTTTTGATTTACCAACATCTGCCTCCCTGCAAGAAATAAGAAAATTAAGTTCAAAAAATACAAAAAGAAAAATGTAAAAAACAAAAAACTATATCTGACCAATTCTCATTTATTGTATAGACAGTATTAAATTGAGAAGCTTTACTCCAAATACAACCTGAATAAAAATTGCCGATTCAAGTTTGATAAGTCTATGGTATCCATGTCGATAACTTCAATATTGCAAAATCCAGACAAAGCCTTAAAAAAGGCCAAATTTATCTCTAGACAAAAACAAGGACACGTAAAAAAAACGCAAAATCAGATCACTTCTAAAACAACGGCAGAAATAAATCATTCCAAACAGTCAACTTTTTGAGAGTCATTTCTGATTATTCAGCCAAAACATCAATGAAAGTATATCAAAAAAAAAGCAAACCAAATCTTTAAGGACTTCACAACCAAGGCCACCAGCACCAACAACTAGTATATGAGCATTCCTAATCTGCTCGAGATTCTGAAAAAAAATAATAATCTAGACAACGACGTAAAAAGTAATAATTAAAAATGACAAAATAAGATCTTTTTCTCAAAATATTCCATGTGAACTCAACAAGTTACTTCAGCATCTGGTCGAAATTCCGGGTGCGCTAGTGCTGACGGCCTATCGGTAAATCTACGTATGTCACGCCAACGATCTTGGGACGACTTGTCTGTTGCCAGTGCATTCATTGGATACTTGTCCCCGCTAAAACCCAGATAAAGAAGCCACTAGATGACGAAGAAAATAATTTTCCTTCGTCAGTCTTTTCCAGACAATCTGTAATAAAAGTTTAAGTGTTCTTTCATGAAAAATTGCTGTATACGGTGAAATATACGATAGTCGTTGGACAAAAGCGAAAAAGTATACAGAAACCGATGAAAGCGTTACTTCTTGACCTACAAGCCGCATAAATGCTGATGTTAATAAAACATGTCGGTCAAAAGCCTACAACTTGAAAACAGTATC